AGTAGTAGCTTTCTACAAGTTTTAAAGCCCATAAAATCTCAGAAGAAAGAACTTCTTTCCCCAAAGCCCAAGAATCTTCTAAAAAGATGGAGGCAGCAGGAGAGCTGAAGGCAACAGAATTTAAGGATTTAGGGAAACCGATTTAGGGAAACCAGACAACTATTTTCTCTTTCAATTACTTTTAATAAAAAAAATCAATCATCATAACTGTAACTATCATAAATAAAACATGAAAGTGCAGCGCAAAATTTACATTGGAACTAATGAAGAACAGTAACAGCAACCAAAACAAAGCAACGGAATAAACTGGACATAAGCAACACACTTCGGGTGTCATTGTCTCCGATGGAACCGTCTTACAAAGAAACAAGTTTAGGGTTCTCATTGATTTAATGTTCTAGTAAGTTAAAATGTTAAATCACTTTATATTTATTTCTTGGTGTAACTGTATTTTATTTTGAAGGCATGCTTAAATATAATTAAGTTAAAATTAATAAATCAAAATAATCTAAAATATAAACAATCAACGTCCGTCCCNCCAGCCAACGGTGGTTACAAAATTTTAGTGGTAATTTGTTCTCAGTTGATTGATTAATAAAATCTTCTTTTCTTGTGGGTGAATCTTTAAAAAGATAGAAGATTGAGCTCAGGATGGAACCAATGAGCCATTCTGTTTCAGATTCACCTTTGTAGAATGCATTATTTAAAATATGAAGCCCACAACTTCCTATTGCATTGCATTGAACACCATGTTCTTTTAACAAATCTTCTTGAATATTATTATAAAACTTCCAATTGACAGCAGGACCGTCCATAGAAATCTGCAATAATTTCTTAAGGTCTACATTTTTGACTGATGCATAAAAGCAGGCTAAAAGGTCATCTGCTACAGAATGGCCCAGAAAAGCTGATGTTAAGTATCGCGTCTCTACAATGTTCTTTACTGGGTTCCAAAAGTGGATATGTATATCCAACTGCTTCTGTGTCGCTATGTTCAAAGACTCATCAAAAAGCAATGCAAAAAACTTGGCATTATCAATACACTTCAGAAGTAGCATGCTAAAATGAGGTGCAAGTCCAAAATGACAGAGATATGCACACTTAGATTCACTGCAGGTAAAATGACGTAATATTGAACTGTCTGGAAACATTGTACTAAATAATTTTCCAGTGTCTTTCGAAGAATTGTAGGGGTAGTAGCTTTCTACAACTTTTAAAACCCATAAACTTAGAAGAAAGAACTTCTTTCCCCAAAGCCCAAGAATCTTCTAAAAAGATGGAGGCAGCAGGAGAGCTGAAGGCAACAGAATTTAAGGATTTAGGGAAACCGATTTAAGGAATCCGATCACTCAAAAAAACTTTCAAAAGGCCAAAATAAAAAATATTTAGCACTTTTTTAGCACTCAGAAGAAATTTTAGCACTTTTTAGGCCCTAAAAAAGTTGGGAAAAATTTTAGCACTTTTTTAGGACATTTTAGGACAGCAAGAACCCTAGATAATTAACCACTTAAAAATTTTCCTAACATATTAAAAATTTAGTAAGTGAAAATATGTTATTTATAGGCTGATTATAGGATTTTAACATTATGCATCTATCACACAAGTCTAATAAATGGAGATGGATCATTTCTTAAAGATTCTAATTGCTAAATTAGACCCCTTTATCATCAGTTAACCTTAAATACTAATTTACTTTAAAATTTGACATTCTGATTTTTTATGTTCATAAAAAATATTTGTTTATCGAACTTATAGAATATCTAACAGCCAATTAAAAATTTGTGAAATTGCTTTTTGTTTGCCTATTTTTTATCAAACTACCAACTTCAATACAATCTGCAAATTAAAGTGGCTATTGTTAATAATTTTTCAGTAGTTAAAGCAGTTGCTAAAAGGAACATATTATTTTTATTTAAAAAAAGTCAAATTTTGAAATGGAAAAAAAAAAAGTAATAAAAAAGTCATTCTATTAAAAAAATTTATTTTATTTTATTAAAATAAGCTACACTAAAATATGTATATTCACAAACTTTTTTTTCTCTTAAGCAGAGTAAGAAAGCATAAAAGTACAATGTCTCATATGAACTTCACAGTAAAAAAAAAAAAAAAAAAAAAAAAAAAAAAAANAAACAAAATATATATAGATGTATAAAGAAAACTAAAGAGGTATTAAATTATTTTCTTTATCGTTAAATTCTTAAACTGATTGCTAGACAAATTTGTTTAGATTTTCAAAAAACAAAATCGATAAAAATTACCTTGAAAACATTATATAACAATTATTAATTTCATACTAAATCACACTTCAGATAACAAAACAATAATTATTATAAGTAAATCTCATTGCTCAATTACTTATCATCATTGCTCAATTACTTATAATAGGTAAAGATTTTTATATGGTACAATTATCTGCTAACAATAGTGCCAGTAGATAAATATTTATTTTCTGGAAATAAAGAGCAACATCTTACCCATGTCTCAGGACATTAATTAGCAGAAATTTCCCATACTTAGACTTAGCCAATGGAAGGAAATCATCTGTCAAATAATAAATAAAATCAAATTGAGCACAAAGTTTTATGAGCAACAGAAAATTTAACATGCAACAATTTAAAAAATTACAATTTCTACCTTTAAGCTCATCGAGAAGCAAAGCACGATGAGTATCAGCTCCCAGTTTAAAAACACTCTCTAGAACACGGACAGTGTCATGAGCAAATGTGAACTGCAAAAACGAAAAGTATACTCAATAATTTTATAGAAAGATTAAATTAACTTAAAAATATCAAATGTAATATAACGTTCCATTAATATTAAAAAATCAAAAACTTTACTGTTTGTTACATTGTAGTTCTCAACCTATAACCAGTGTTAAATTTGAATAATCAATTCACACATAATTTGTTTTTCAATTCACACAAAATTTAATTTTATAGCCTTCAAATTTTAAACTGCACTCATAAAACAAGGGATGTTCTTAATCAACCTTGGGACAAATTTACCTTTACGGAGAACTTTT